GCCCTGGCCCCCACCTACGCCTGGCCTCACCTTAAGATGGCGTGAGGACACCCCAAAACACTTGCCGGGTTAGGACTTTCTTCAAGCCCAGATTCTCGGCCGGGCGTGGTGGCTCACGCCTGTCATCCTAGCACTCTGGGAGGCCGGAGGGGGCGGAGGGATTCGCTCGAAGGGCCGGGAGTTCGAACCCATCTCTACTAAAAAAAGTAGAAAGAAATTTACGGATAACTAAAAAATTTTATAGAAAATGACCGGGCGTGGTGGCGCATGCCTGTAGTCCCGCTACTTGGGAGGCTGAGGCAGGGGGGAGCGAGTCACTTGGGCCCAGGAGTTGGAGGGTTGCTGTGAGCGAGGCTGATACCACGGCACTCACCTCTAGCCTGGGCAAACAGAGTGAAGACTCTGTCTCAAAAAAAAAAACCCAGATCTGGTTAGGCCATTATGTGCTAGGATTACAGGCGTGAGCCACCTGCGCGCCGGCAATTCTTTCTATTTATTATAGAGGAAGGGGTCTCGCCTTCTTTAGGCTGGGTTTCGGATTCCTGACCTGAGCGAATCCTCCCGCCTCGGCCTCCCCGAGTGCTGGGGGATGACAGGCGTTGAGCAGCACACCTCTTAAGATGTCCACAGAGGCCCACTTGTGAATAACCAGAGCAGAGAAAGGTTATGCCTTGTCCCTTACGTGATGTGTCACCTCAGCGGGGCGTTCTCTCTCTGAGCTCTAGTTTTCCCATCTATAAAATAAGCATGTTACAAAAATCTTTTTAATTTTAAAAAAAGGGCATGTTGATAGCTACTCTTCACAGTGTTTATAAGAAACAGAGATAAACCACATAAAATTGCTTAATATAGGTGCCAGATAAGGAAAAGTACTCAAAAATCTGGTAGCAATAGTTGCATTTTATACTATTACTGTTAGCATCATAATTGAATAGAAGGGCACTGTAGTTTTGCAGTTGGAGCACATAGGACTCTGCAAGCCAAGTTGCCTACGTTTAAGTTCCAATTCGCCACTGGAGCTGTGTGACTTAGAGCAAGTGCTTAAACCTCTCTGTGTGCCTACAGTTCATTAACTGTTTAATAATCGTACCTACCTCAAAATTGCTGTGATAATTAAGTTATTGTATGTGGAGTGCTTTGAAGAGTGGCCTGGCAACTAGTAAATGCTACAAACATGCATGCTGTTATTGTCATTAGTTGGTCTGTTATTGTATTAGTAGTAATATCAATATTGGTGCTATTGCGATTATTAACAACGGGGCTCGCGTGAAAGCCTGGGGAGGTCCACAATCAGGGCCAGTGCAGCGGCGCGGCCTGTGATCCCAGCACTTTGGGAGGCTGCAGGCGGGGAGCTGGCTTGAGGCCAGGAGTCGGAGACCAGCCTGACACAAAAACAGAAAGATTAGCCGGCACGGGGTAGCACCTGTAGTCCCAGCTACTCGGAGCCCGAGGCCCTGGAGGGCCAGGAATTCGAGGCTGCCGGTGAGCTCTGAGGCGCCCCTGCACTCCAGCCTCAGCCACGCAGGGAGACCCTGTGTCCAAAAATCCCAAAAGTCCACACTCCACAAATCCACTATCCTGCTAGTTGCCCCCAGGAGGAAGCTTTCTGGCTTTGGGACGTTATCTCCCTTCTCTCTTTTTTTTGGAGTCAGGTCTCACTCTGTCACCTGGGCTAGAGTGCCGTGGTGTCAGCCTCGCTCACAGCAACCTCCAACTCCTGGGCTCAAGCATCCTCCTTGCCTCAGCCTCCCGAGTAGCTGGACTACAGGCATGCGCCACCATGCCCCAGCTCATTTGTATTTTCTATATATTTTCAGTTGGCGATTAAGTTCTTTCTTATTTTTTAAGTAGAGAACAGTGTGTGTGTGTGTGTGGGGGTGTCTGCTCTTGCTCAGGCTGGTCTTGAACTCCTGACCTTGCAGTGATCCTCCTGCCTCAGCCTCCCAGAATGCTGGGGATGACAGGCGTTGAGCCACCGAGGCTGCCATATCACTCCTTCTCCGAGGCCTGTCTTCCGTGTCTGCAAAGTGGAAATGGTGACAGTGCCCGCCGTGGGCGGCCGCCTGGGTGGTGGGGTGGCCCGTGGAAGCTTCGGCTGGCAGTGCATTCAGCCTCGTCTGGCGCTGTTGCCCAACCCCAAGCCTCTCCCCCCAGCCTCGCAGCGAGCGGCTCCGCTCTGGGCCGGTGGGAGGGGCGGGCGGCTGTCCCTGCCTTCCCTGTGGTCTCGGGACCGGCTATCCGGGAGGGCCGGCTCCCCTGCAGCTCGTGGGAGGGCGGCGCTGCCCTGCCTTCCCTGTGGTCTGGGCCTGCGCATCACGAGGCTGGCCTCCCCCTTGCTAGGCCGTGGAGGGCGGGCGCTGCTTCCCTGTGTCTGGGCCGGCCTCCCGCAGGGCCGTGGGAGGGGGGCGCTGCTCCCTGCCGTTCCCTGTGTCTGCCTGGCCATCCGGAGCCAGCCTCCCCCTGGCAGGTCTGAGGCGGCCCTGTCCTGCTTCCCTGTCTGGACCTGGCCTATCCGACTGGCCTTCCCCTGCAGGCCGTGGTGGGGGCGCTGTCCCAGGCTGTCCCCTGGTGTCTGGGACTGCTGGCTATCCAGAGGCCGGCCTCCCCTGCAGGGGCCGTGTGAGGCGGGCGCTCCGCCGGACCGTCCCCGTGCCTTGGCCTGGCCATCGAGCCAGCCTCCATCAGACGCGGTGCCAGGCACGTCTGCTTCCAGGAACGGCGGCCCCGCGGGCGAGGCGGCATGAAAGCCGTCAGCGGAAACGTGACGCGGTCCGCGGCGGGGCGGTCAGGCGGGGTGAGCGCCAGACACGCCCTGGTCTGCGAGCCGCGGCCTCGGCTTCCCCGCTCACTCCGCGCCTCCTCCACCCCTCCTCGCCGAGCGCTCACAGGCACCCTCCTCCAACGAGTCTCTTTGTCCCCGCGCGCAAGAAGGCGGTGCTGCGGAGCGCCCCCCACCCCTGGAGCCACTTGGATCCTGCCTGGCTTGGGCTGGAAGCAAGGCAGGCAACTGGACAGAAGAGTGAGGCAGGACGGCTGGCAACTGTTGAGGGCTGTTTGACAGGGCAGGTCCCGGGAAGGGATTCTTTTTGTGCTTGTTGATTTGTTTATTATTTTTTTGAGGACAGATTCTCCTCGTTGCCTTAGGCTGTGAAGAGTGACGAGCGTCAGCCGCCACGCAACTCAATATCTGGGTTCATATGCCGTTCCTCCTCCCTCAGCCTCCCAAGTAGCTGGACTACAGGCATGCGCCACCATGCCTGCTAATTTTCGTCTATATATTTTTAGTTGGCCATTAATTTCTTTTTATTTTTAGTAGAGACGGGGGGGGGGGTGGGGGGTCTCGTTCTTGCTCGGCTGGTGTTTGGATCCTGACCTCAGAAGCCGATCCCTCCTGCCTTTCCTCCAGTGAGTGCGCCTAGGTGACCAGGCGTGAGCCACCCGCGGCCGGGCCGGCCGGAGGGGGATTCTGAGTTGACTGAGGTGTGGAACCCTCAGATCTTTTTTTAGTTCAGGCGGCCACCACTTCCTTCTGTCCTCCCAGCTACTCCTTGAGTCATTGCCTCGGAAGGAAAGAGGAGAGAGGGCAGGCACAAAGAGTCTGGCCTTGATTTCAGCCCCCCGGGGCCCCATCACCAGGATAAATTTGACTTGTTTTAAGCTTTTACCAAAAAAGTCGAGCTAGAAAGATCTGGCAACTCCTGGAGGAATTCAGGGGTTTAGCAGGCAGATCTGGAGGCTCAGGCCTTAAGGAGCTGGGAAAAAAGAGTGACTTACAGAATTTGCCATCTGCCTGCTCTAGGATTTGCGAGAAGGGCTCAGAATCCTTATTTTATCTAGTCAAAAACAGGCGCAAAGAGGGAGGTGACAGACCACCAGCTAACGCCACGTGGTCTGGGGACAGATGTGCCTTTTAGATGGCGCATTCCACACGCACCTAAGCACGAGCGAGAGAAAATGCTCACTCCTGCCGTAGCCCCAAGAGACAGGGAAGGTGACATTGGCAGCAGACAGTCCTAACGGCCAGGTGGTGCCTCTGCCAGGCTGAGAATCCCTGGAGGCAGCTTCCCTGCTCGGGCTGCAGACAACCAGAAGGTTCTGGAAGACTCACGCGCTTTGGGGGCCGCAGCGTGTGGAGACAGGCAGGCACTGGCCACCAGGAAGCACCAGGACACCTGGGGAGGGAGCCAGCATCCGACAGGAATGCGGCCCATCAAGATGAAGGGGCGAGGCAACACTACGCCCGTCAGGTCCCACTTCTTTTCCCATGGACTTTTTTTTTTTTTTTTTAAGTAAGAGCACTTGCCTAAGGAACACCAAAATACTCATTCACGCACAAACACACCGAGAGGAAGCCGAGGAAGGATGTAGAGAATAATTACGGAATGTTGCCTCCGGCAGCAATAAGACAGGATATGGCAAATCCATTAGACCTTGCTGGATTTGAAAACGCTAGACTGCCTTGGCAAACAGGAGCCGTCGCCGGCATTCATGCCCATCGCACAACAATTATTAATACCATTAATTATTAATTAATTAATATTAACACCATTATTATTCATTAATTGATATATTATTAATTAATTATATTAATATAATTAATAATACTTCTCATTGCATAATAATCTCTTCTCTGTGCCTACATCTCCAGCCAGCTGCCCGGACACTGTAGCCCACGATTTCATACCTTAGTTTTCTGTCCAGTTCTAAGGCCCACGACTGAAGCAGACGGAGGGGCGGGGGAGAAATGTACTATTTGTTTAATTCTGGGGAAGGAGGCATGAGATGATCGCTAATTCCTGGCAAGGGTTAAAAAACAAAAAATTAAACCAATATTTACCCACCAAGTTGACTAAGCTTATTCTGACTGAATACAAAGCACATGAAAAGTTGAATGAAATCACACCAAGATTAACTACTAATAGTTATTGCCTTCAGCCAAAACAAGAGGATGGACAGTCACATCAGACAGTCGAGGCATTTTAAAAATTCAGGAGACCATCTTTCTCTTCCACAGGAAAAGGATTATTTTATTAAGTATTTTTAAAACAACTACTTAACATTTACTCATAAAAATATGTACAATTTCACACCTCCAAGAGGGCTCCAAAATATAAACACTGTACCTCTCCCGAGAGAAAAAAGAAATTATTCTTCTCTTCAAAAACAGGGATACATTCATTTTTTTTCTCACTTTGTAGATCAAGTAATTATACAAATAAACATCTGAAACATTTTCCTTTTTTAATATATTTATATAATATATATTTATAACAGCTTTACAAATAAAGGCAATGACTTTATAACTGAAATAAAAACGGGGAAAAGAAAAAGTAAAAACACGGTGGCCATCACGCATAGTGCATTTTGAAAAGCTGGTGCGAGGCGAGCTGGGAACAAGTTCTCTGGACCGAAAATAAAACTTCTTTGAAGGAGACAGAATCTTTTTTTTTTTTTTTTTTTAGCAATAAGGACACTCCATATGCCGCCGGGCAAGAGAAATTAGCCTACAGAAAGGATCTTGCAGTGCCATGCCGTGGTTAGGCCTTTGGGAAGCTAAGCTTGGTTAAAAAAAAGGAGTTTTAGGATGGAATTTGGAGCCGAGTGTAGCTCTGCTTGGGGACAGCAGTTTGTGACTCAGCTCTGTGCACTTTGGGGACACTGAGGGCGTCGGCACCTCGCAGACCCTGGTTTGGTTCCCTGGGCTGATGGTGGGACCCAGGGACGGGAGCCAGCGGCCTGGGGGACGCCTCCCTCTGTCCCTGGCAGCTCAGCTTGTGCAGGGGGGCGTTTTCGGTTCCTTAGTAAGCTAATGGCAAGGAAAGCCTGAGTAGGGAACTACATTCTCTTTATTCCTCCGAGGCAGGGTGGGGAGCAGACCTGCGGGAAACCTCCCCAAACCGCTGCCACGCCAGTGTCTGCTACCTCGCCACGCTAGCAAGAAAGCTCGGTCTGACCGCCCTCCCTCCCAGTCCTCGTCGTCTGGTGAGTCACATCCACAATAAAGGGAAGAGGGTGGGGTCCCCAACAGCTGGCCGGGAGCCGTGCTCTGGAAAAGCCCTCTTTTGAAAGCACCTTGTGCTCAAAGCCACAAGACCCGGCTCCCAAAACTGAAGAGTGACTCACAGGGCAAGACTTTGAAGCTTTTGAAAGATCTAGCTGGTTTGTTATCAAAGGAGGCTATTCTCTGGGTGGGGGAGAAGCCCAGAAGTCGGCCACCATCCGGCCCCCTCCCTGCCCAACCCTTCTCACGTCAAGCAGTCCTTCGTGACTTCCCTGTGCCAAAAGGAGCTTTAGCGTCCCGCACCCGCACGCAGGCGCACGCACACTCTCGTCACACGCGCACGCACACACACGCCACCCTGCGAGCCCGAATTCTCTGTCCATCCACCCATCCACGTCTCAGACGATCTCGGAGCACACGACGCAGCCACCCCGCTCGCTGCACTCACGCCAACATTTTTTTGCTGTTGGTGCTGTTGTTTTTCAGAAGTAGGGAGGAAGGAAAGCAGAGCAGCAGGCCCCCTCCTCCCCAGCCCTGCAGAGTTCTAGTCTTTGGTTTCTAAGTTTAAAGGCGGGATCTGCTTCAGAGCCTGGAGCAGGACGGAGGAGTCGACGGCCGGGTGCGCCTGCAGGGGGGAGGGGAGCCTCTGGGGCATGAGCAAGGGCGCCGAGACCTTGTCCGGGCTCATGAAGCTGCCCAGGGCGGCGGCCGAGGCGTTGAGGCCGGGGTAGAGCACCGGCACGGAGGTGGGGTACCAGCACTTCTCCAGCATGGGCAGGTAGGCCGTGGCCGACGGCGGGATGAGATAGAAGGGCAGGCAGAAGGGAGGCTGGTGTGGGTGGGGGCCCAGGAACGGGTTGCCCAGGAGGTCGCCGCCCGGGAAGTGGCCTTCGTCCTCGGAGAGCTGCAGGCGGCTCTTCTTGGTGGGGGGTTCTTCCGACTCCTGCTTGATGGCGCCCACCCTGTCCCCGGCGCACCTGCTGCGCGCGCGGGCGCTTCCGAAGCTCGGCTCGGCCCGCGGGTCGCCCTTCTCCGACTCCCCGCCATAGCCGCTGTCTGTGTCCGTGTCGCTGCCGCTCTGCTCCCCGCTGGAGGGAGCGAAAGTCCGCTGGATGACAGGGACGCAGTTCTTCCCAGGCCCCTCCGAGCCTTTGGCCAGGGAGCCGGCCTTCTCCTTGAAGTCCGTCACGGCCTTGGGAGCGGCGTCCGGTGGTGGCTTCCTGGAAAGGCCGCCCTGCAGCAGCTCCGAGACCACGCGGTGCAGGTGGGTGACGAGCTGGGAAGACCGCAGGTCCCGGGTGTTCTCGTGTTTGGCCAGGTACTGCAGCACCTCCCGGGCGCACGTCTGGAAACCTGAGCAGAACATCTCCTGGCCTGCTTCCACGCTCCTCCCCGACAGCTCACCTGGGCACGGTTGCAGAGGAAGACAGTTCAGCAAACCCCGGTGTAACCAGACCCCAAACACCCGGAGCTCTCCTCTTTGCTAAACAATCGCCTGGGCAGATTTGCATTCCTAACTCCAAAAGTAACATGCTCAGAGAAAAATTATGCTGAAAAGGATAAAGAATAAAACAAAAAGAATCCACAGTTCTACCAGAGATAAAATGCGATTTCTAATGGCTGCTTAGCCTCCATCGTAGAAATGGACTATAATTAACGGAGATGGGCTGTTCCCCTTCTTGCTGGATTTATAGGTTATTCCTGATTTTTCGTTGTGACACAGCAATGAACATTCTAGTAATGTTTATAAACCTAAGAGTCAACTCATAGAACATCGATCTCACTGTGGTTAAGGTGAGCAGAGGTTAGACAGTCATAAAATGAAATAAAGAATAAAGGAAGAATTATCACCTAAAGTAAGCTTATTTTCAATGGCTTATGAAAGTTGCAGTCATGTTGTAATGTTTAATTAGGCCCTCTGTTTCTAAGTCTTTTCTATGTATCTATCCATAATCCCCGAGAAATGAGGTGTGATCATCTTCCTATTTTTAATGAGGAAACCGGCAGAAGCACTTGTAGGGTTTTTGTGATTCTCATCACACCAGCCCTGGAGAGGAAAGGGGAGACGAATGGAATGAGGCAGTGGGTAGAACAATTCTCCCCAGTTGTACAGTATTATTTGGAAGGGGGTGAGACTGGGAGACCAGAAGGTGACTCTGATTCTCTGGAAGTTAGTAGAAATGAATGACGAAACTTAAGTGGTTTCGCTAGATTGTGCAATTCACCAAGATACCTCTTGGCTATTCAGGGAACCACATGAGATGCAGGAAAAACTCCCGCTGTGTCCTGCCAGGATCACACCACACACGGAGCAATAAGGAAGCAAAGAAACAGCAAAAACACTGGGGCGGACCCGTCATCTATTCTCCAACGAAAGAGGGCTAAGAAGACCAACTGTAAAACACCCACGATGTAAATTATAGGTGCCTTGGCATTTTAAAAGGGAGTGGGGAAATCTCCCAGAACCCAGAGTCTCTTAAGCCAAAATGCCACAGAAATATTTTATCATTTGACTCATGTGTGTTCATGCCAGGTGGCACACAGCAGAATTCCAAATGAAAAATCTGACCTTTTAGGAAAGATAAAACTGCATGAACGTGCACAAGCGATTTGCTGCCGGAATGTTTCTTATGTCAGATGAGAAACCCACGGGCTGTCTCTGTGTTTGTGCTCTAGCTCTTTAAGACGCGACACCCACAGCGACACTCACCAGCCTGCAGGCCGCTCTGCAGGGTGACGATTTTCTGCTGCTGCTGGTCAATTAGGTTTGTGAGTGCTTTCACATGCTTCAAGGTAAGTTCAAGAACCACTGCTTTTTCCAAGTGACCCAAAGTCTGGAATAAAAAGAGCCTTGGGTCAGCCTTGAGGTCAGAGAAGTCCCACCTCTGACACACTTATGAGTAATGACAAATGTCCTTTAAGGGAAAAAAAAAAGTAGAATAGCTTTTCCTGGTTGACTAAATTTAGTTTTAAACATGCAGATCATGTTTTTTTTTAAAAAAAGATATACATATGATTAAAGAATAAAAACGGGTGTCATGTATCTTGGAGGCATTTTAGAAGCTTTGACAGATAAACGTCTCCGGCAGCCGCGGCTGACCTTAACTCGGGGGATCCGGAGATAGCATTTCTCTGCAACCCCAGGGACTTCTATCCGCTGGCAGCCCGAGGCTTTCCCTAGCTTCTCCCCTGACACCCTTTCCGAACTTCCAGCTGCTCTAAGCTGGTTTTTTCCCCTTCCTCCCCCAAATACTAATTTTTCCCTTTCCCCAACCAAAAGCTGCCAAGGTAGCTGTTAGCTACTGTCAAGAAAAGACAGGATGTAAAAAACACACACCCAAGCCAGTCCCCTTATTTTAACAACAACAACAAAAAGAAAGCAGGGAGGCAAGGGGAGAGAGGGGTCAACACTGTCTGCATGTTGCTTGGCTTGCTCCTGGAAGTCAGGAAAACTAGAGAACCCTGACAGATCACCAGAGGGGAAAAACCTTAAGCTCTCTTGGAGAAGAAAGGCCGACTGGCGTTGGAGCCAGCTTGGACCGGGCCAGGGAGGCTCTCGCCTGCTTTGCATGCGGCTGCCAGAAAACCCGCGCCTGGGGAAGGAGGGCAGCACCCGGCGACACGGAGCCGCCGGCCAGCTCGGAAGCGCGGTGCGGCGCGCAGTTCGCCGCGGGGCCTGCAGGCGGCGAGTGACCCCCGCCCGGCGCGGGCCGCGCTGGCGACGCGCCAGCTTCCCACTTACTGTAAGTTTGAGGTGCTCGGGCAGGAGATCCTTCAGCTGGGCGATGCACTCGTTAATCCGGTCGCGTCTCTTTTTCTCGATGAGCCGGTGCGGCAGTTTGTAGGTCTCCTGCAGGAGGACGCACCGGAGGGGTGGGCGCGGGGAAGGGGCCGCGAAGCCCCCAGGCTTCTCCCCGCAGCCCCGCCGCGCAGGAGTCGCACCCAGGACCACCCCCGGGCCTTCTTTTCCACGAGCCCCCCAGTGCACCCCACCTGCCAACCTCAAAGCGAGAAAACTTTTCTTGGAAACTCAAGCGCGCGCGCAAGGGGGCCGGGGCGCGGGGTCCCCAAGGGGTGCGCTTACCTTGCTGTCCTCGCCCCGCTTCATTCCGCGCCTCGACTTGTACACCTGGTACATGTGGGCAAAATCCATCCTGCGGAGAGAGGGGGCAGGAGGGGCCGTGACTTGGCGTGCGCACCGGCTGCAGAGCGCCACCCGGCTGCGCCCGGAGCGAGCTCCAAGCCGGGAGCGGCGCTGACGTCGGGCTCGAGGGGGCCGGGAAGCGCCAACTTACCCGGGCAGGTCTCCGCGCTCCGGTCCCGGCGCTTTGGGCATGCACACGGGAGGTGGCTGCGCGCTGGGGATCCGCTCCATGGCGCGGCGAGCCGGGGCCACTGCGCGCTCCCGTCCGCTGCGCTGCTGGCGGGGCGGGCAGCAGGGAGTGAGCACGGTGCCCAGCAGCGGGGTTCGGGGGTCCCCGCGCGGAGGTGCCTGCGAGCCTGCGCTCCCCGAGGTGCCCCGGGCTGCTGGCCGCGGCGGCTGTGCGAGGCGGCTTCAGATCAGATCGGGGCGCGCATGGCCCGTGTCCCCGCGGCCTCTGGCTCCGGCCGTGCGCACCGACCGGCGGCGAGTGCTCCCTGCGCGCTCTGCGCCGCGCCAGCCGAGTGAATGAGAAGTGGGGCGGGCGGCGGGGAGGCGGGGGCCGGGGGGGCGGGGGGGCCGAGCCGGGGAGTGATGGCGCGGCTGCGGGCTGGGTTAAACGGGAGCGAGTGGGTGGGTGGGAGCTACGTGTTCCACCCTGTGACTCCAGGCACGTCTGGCCGCGGCCGGGGAGGGAAGGAGCGACCTGCCCGCCCTCCCCCGGCTCCGTCACATGAGCCTCACGTGTCGGGCGACGCTCCCCGGTCCCGGCCCCAGGTGTCTGCGGCCGCCCTTCCCCGAAGAGGGGGTGGCGCGCGCCCTGCCCGGCTGGGTGGGGGGCGCGGGGGCCGGAGGGGACCGGGCGCGGGCGGGGGGACGGCGGGCCGGGCTGGCAACGTGGGCGAACCTGCCCCAGGGAAATGAAGTAAGTTCCCGTCTCCTGGGAGGGGACGGGGGAGGACGGGCCCGCCCGCGGCTGACTCAGGCCGGGAGAGGAATACCCCGCGCTCGCGGCGGCCGGCCCTCCTCCCCCCGCGCGGAGCCGCCGCCCCCGCCGTCCCCAGGGCCCGGGGTTCCTCCGCGGCCCGGCCCCCGCCCCCACCGCGCCACCCGGCGTCCAGGAATCGCCCGCCTCGGGGAGGGGCCGAGGGCGGGGCGGATGTCACCCCATGGGAAGCGGGCGGCCGGCCAAGCGCAGGGGCAGCCGGGGCCGCCGCCGAGCACGCCGCGCGCACCTGACCGCCGGGGCCGCCTCCCGGGCACGGCCTGCGGGCGGGCCACCCGCCTGCGCGCGCACCCGCACCCCCGGGTGCCCCAGTGTACCCCCGCCACCCCCCACCCCCGGCTCCCGGGCACGGCCTGCGGGCAGGCACCCCCTGCCGCGCGCACCCCCAGCGCCCCTGTGTCACCCCCCGCCACCCCCATCCCCAGCTCCCCGGGGCTCGGCCTGCGGGCGGGCACCCGCTTCCGCGCGCACCCCCTGCACCCCGGGTGCCCCAGTGTCACCCCCGCCACCCCCACCCGCGGCTGGCCGAGCGCGGAGAGACACCGGGCGCCGTGCCCGGCGTTCCCTCCCTCCCTCCTGCGCCCTCCGGAGCTCGGGCGCCCGGGTCGCCTCCCCTCCGGCTGCGGCGTTACACAACCGCGCGCGCGCCGCCTGCCCTGCAGCCGCGCCGGGGCGTGGACGCTTCACGTGGCCGGGCCGCGTCGCTGCGTCCCGGAGCGCTGACCGGGCCGGGGAGCCGGGGGGGCGGGGCCGGCGGCGCTGTCCGCACCCGCAGCGCGGGGCCGGAGGGACGAGGGGAGGAAAAAACCCATTTGCGCCCAGTCCCGTGCAGCCTTCGCGTGCGTTCAGCTAACACGCGCACGCCGAGCGCCTACTCTGCGCGGGCGTCTTGCACTTACTTGCTAGAGATGGGGGGGGGTCGGACGCTGATCCTGACCTTGAACTTGAACATGAAGGGAATGCAAGCCCTTGGGGGAGTTATATCGAGGCCACTGGCTCAACAGTGGGAAAAAAAAAATAAGACGAGAACTTCTGTTGTGCTTTTTGTTTTTAATGCTAACCAACGTCGCCTGGGCAGGGAAGTGGGGAGAAGCCAGCCCCGTGCCCCGAGCCTGGGGCGGGGGGACCCCCTCCTCCTGCGGCCCCAGGTCTCTGCAAGGTCACTCGGGCCGCCGGAGGCCCCCACCTCCCCACCCACCCACGTCCCCCGAGAGGTCCGGTCTCGGTGACCTTCTAGCTCGGCGAGGAGCAGGGAAAGCCGCCGAAACTCGGATCCGGCGGCGCGCTGCAGGCGCGGGTGGAGCCAGTGGAAAGTCGTGACTCAAATAGGGCCTGGCTGGGGACTTCACTGACCCCCGCGCTCCCGGCCCTGCAGGTTGGGGAGTTGAGAGATGACTGTGACCCCTCCCGCTGCGTTGGGGTCGGCCACCCCCCGCTGCGCAGGGACCTGGCTGGGGGGAAGGGGAGGGTTGCAAAAAAATAAAAATAAGTGGGGTCACTGCTGGGACTGGGTGACGAAGATGAGCCTCGGGGGCAGTCTGGGGGACAGTCTTCGTGGGCGGTGTCCTTGGCGACCCCGAGAACTGGGATTCACGCGCTGACCCAACTGGGAGTGGATTTCCTTCTGGTGGCTTTGGAGAGCTCCCACTTCCTGTTTGCATTTCAAAAGCGTCAGGCTCATTAGCAAGGGCGAGAAACGCCTGCTCCGCTGGCCCTGGCCTCACTCGGGGGCTCCTCGCCGGGAAGGTGCTTTTCTGCTGGCTTTTGTCGCCAGCCCTCTCTCTGGAGGGGGTGACTGAGCCACGCAGCGTCTTCCTCCCCCAGGGTGGGCAGCAGGGCGAAAGAGCAAGGAGGGGCGGCAGGCCGCTCTGGATGCGAGCCTGCCCCTAGGGCGACCTGGTTCCCCGCGCGACTTTAATGTAAGGGTGAGTAGTTGCCATGACTGCCGTCACAACCACTGTGCCCCCAGGAAATAAGGGCCGGGAGAGGACAGTCCCCGCGCCCCATTTGCCGCCAGCCCCCAACCTCGTGGAAGGAGTGAACCCTTCCAGCCTCATGGCTCGTGGCAGATGGCATTCCCAAAATCCTCTTGAGTTTATCCATACATTTTGCCCTTCCCTGCTCTACAGTTGCAAATAAATACAACGTCTGCGTTTCCTACTTTTTATTCGTCCCAGATATGATCTCAAGCTGCAAGATCCATCCCCATCCCACCAGAGTTCCACTGTAACTGGGTTTTATTTTATTTTTTCAATCTGCTGTTCTGCTCTCGATAGCTTATAACTATTTTTTTTAAAAATTAGCTTAAAATAATTCGCAGCATGTAGACGACAGACTATTTTAGCCTGTCATCTTTTGTGGATAGTAAACCCTTTTCTATGTTAATTTCTCAATACTACCTGATGAGGCAGTCACTGATATTAGCTTAACTCCTTTTTTAAGACAGTTATTGAAAACCACTATGCACCAGGCACTGAACTAGGCCCTAGGGATATATAAATTATCCTCTTTGGAGAACTGAGCCTCAGGAAAAGCTCAGTTATACAGGTTATACAGTCTGGTATTAGATCTGGGACGAGACCCCCAGGTTTGTTGGACTCCAAAGCTCTAAATCACCATACTTAAAACCACCTGGTAGGGTTGTATAGGTTGTGCACTGCTCAACTGCAGGGAGAGCCATCCGCATTGCAGTCTGTGTGAGGGCACACGGAGTTATGCAGTTGTAGCACAGAGCAGCTGCCCTGGTAAGCCATTCTCTCTGTTTTGTCTCTTCTAAGTGCAGAGAGAACACAATTTTGAACAAGGGCAGGATAGGATCTTTCTTTTCTTTCCTAATGTAGCTCCGGATCTTGGTGGCCTGACACCATGTTCTGGAACAAGTCTATGCTGTTCCTCCCTACAGTGTTCCAGGCCCTCGCTTTGTAAGAAGTTAGAGCACAAAGCCCCACTCCACACATCCACAACTTACTTGCTCAGGTATCCCTTTTTGCCTGTTTATGGAGCCTCAAAAATTTTTATCACAGATCTCAATAAGAAATACATGTTACATCATGACTCAACACACACACATTTGTACGTACGCACATCTTAAGTATATTTAAGCATAGGACAGCCAAGGCTTGGGTTGGGCTGTAGCAGTAAACCACCACTACCCTCTATCCTGTGCCCTTGAGTATAAAAATTGCTCACTTAAAAACAACAAAAAATGAAACCACTTAGGAAAAAGCCAGTGCAATGCATTTTTGCAGATGAAAATTTCACAAAATACTTCCCCTTCTTATGTGCATTCTGACATTTTCTAGTCTAGTCTATTTTATTCATATTAAAAGAAAAATATTCAGGTCTTGACTTACTAAATGGATTTCACAACCCACCAGTAGATTCTGATCTGCAATTTGAAAACTTGCTGTGCTGATCCTGGTTGGATTCAATAGTATAGATGTCTCCAGCCAGGAAAACGTCTGTTAATTCCTACCCTTTGTTTCCTATATATAATCACCCTTGTCAGTCTCTGCTCTTTTAAAAAAATAACTGCATCTAATTGTTTTATTGAGATATAAACAGACAATAAAATACACAGATCTTATATGTTTGGCTCTTGGTTTTTGATAAATACATATATCTATGCAGCCACTACCCCGAACAAGATACAGGACATTTTTATCACCCCAGGAAGTTCCTTCATATCTTTTTCCAACCCACCCCCACCCCCACAATCACTTTCTGATTTCTATCACTAGAGATTAATTTTGCCTGTTATTAGGATTCATATATTAATATAGGAATGTGCTGTTTTGTAGGAATGTGCTGTTTTGAGTGAAGTTTCTGTTGCTTCACATGCTTTTGGGATTCTGCCCTATTGTAGCAGGTATCAGAAGTTTGTTCTTTTTTCTTGCTGAGTGTATTTTATTGTATACTTATAACACCATCTGTTTGTGTAGGCCCTGCTGATGGACAGTCACGTTGCTTCCAGGTTGGGACTGGAGAATGAGAATGAGAATCCCAGTAGCTCCATGGGCAGTCTCACCAACAGTTAGGGCACACAGATTTTGTTTATTTTAGCCATTCGTGGAATAATATTATTGTATTTTTAAAGTTGAGCATCTTTTCTAGTGCTTACTGGCCATTGGCATATCTTCTTTTGTGAAGTATTTGTCTAGATCTCTTGCTTGGTTTCTTTTTTTTTTCTTTTTTTTAATGATTATTTTTTTAAATTTATTTAATCTTAATTTTTTATTCTTTTTCTTTTCATGGACAACATGAAACTTCATCCTTCTTGGTTTCTAAATTGGATTATTTACTTTTTTATTGTTATATATAGAAACACAATCCAATTATGTATATTGACCTTCTGTCCTGCAACCTTGACATTATGTTGTTGATTTACAGACATTCCTTATATATTTGAACTATAAGTCTTTTGTCAAAGACATGGTTTTATAAGCCAGGTGCGGTGGCTCACACCTGTAATCCTAGCACTTTGGAAGGCCAAGGTAGGAGGATATTTTGAGGTCAGGAGTTTGAGACCAGC